GTGTGTGTGTGTGTGTGTGTGTGTGTGTGTGTGTGTGTAGGCACGTTTTTGTTACATCGTGAGAACCATTTTCCAGAAAAAGACAGCCTCATGAGGACCAAATGTACATCGTTGTGATCAGTGCCCGGTCCCCATGAGTTTGGATGCTAATTTCTGGTTGGGGGTTAGGTTTAGGACCAAGGTGTGAATTGAGTTTAGGTTAATTTTAGGATCAAGTACCTGTGATGATAGTTTCAGGGTAAATGCTCAGGGTTAGGTCATAAAATTATCAGAAAATGAATGGAAGTCATTTCACGGTCCCTATGGGGATATAAAAACAATTGTGTGTGTGTTTGTTAGAAAGGAGCTGTATTCTATCAGTCCATTTTAAGAAAGAAAAAAAATCAGTCTTGTCCCAAAATGTTTCAAATTTGGGAGAAAAAAGGTTAGGTGAAAACTGTACATCATATAGTCTTGTGCAAAACTTTGGTCAATTTCTTTTGAGGATGCTCAAAAGAAAATTCATAACTTGTTATCTTGGTTGTTAACCTAATTGTCTCCAGTATGTTTTGCAACTTTTGTGAAGGTTTTCAGTTTCTTTATATGAGTCTAAGAGGAAATCTGGTTGCATAAATTCTAATATGTTCAACAAATTTGTGCAATAAACTTTCTTTCAAAATAATCTGAAACATATAGCATGTGTTTTAAACCCATCTTGAACCCACCTGGGCACTATTACTCTATCTCAGGAGCAGCAGAGTTGTATTTTAAAGCTCTCTTTTTTATAAGAGAAAGTCAAAAATAAACTACAGTGACCTGAAGGGAAAAAAATGCAGGTTCCATTTGAGTTTGAGGCATAAAACCACTACTTCTACGTCCGTTCATCCATCCATCCATCCATCCATCCATCCATCCATCCATCCATCCATCCATCCATCCATCCATCCATCCATCCATCCACCCACCCATCCATCATTGTACTTGCTACAGTATCGAGGGCAGCAACTTGAGCAGGAAGCCCTAGACCTCTATTTTCCCAGCCACCCCTTCCAGCTCTTCTGGGAGGATTCCAAGGCAGGCCAGCCAGACATACTCTCTCCAGCATGTCCAGGATCAATCCTGGGGTCTTCTCCTAGTTGCACATACCCGGAAAACCTAGGCAGGTGTCCAGGAGCCATCCTTACCAGATGACTGAACCACCTCAACTGGTTCCTCTCGATGTGGAGGAGCAGCGGCTCTGAGTTTCTCCCAAGTTCATGTTCAAGTTTATTAGCCATGCAGTAAATAACCACATTGGAAAAACAGTGCAAGAGCTCACATCCTTCAACATGCACACATAGAAAAATTAAAAGATTATAAAATAAATTTAAAAGAAGTTAAAAATTTAAAATAAAAAAATATATAAATTAAAAACACTGAACACAGAACCCCTCATCTGCAACAGACAGAATTTCACAGAACAGGTGACATTCCATGTTACTTGATAAAAGTGAATGTGTATTATTCAAAGCCCTCAGAGCCTGTGGAAAGAAACTATTTAAATGACAAGACATAGTACATTTGATAGAACGGTACCGTCTCCCCGAGGGAAGAAGCTCAAACATATCTTTAGCAGGATGAGTTGGATCATTTATAATAGAGAAAGACTTAGAAAAAAGTCTACTTTTTAAAATATCCTCCAAGGCTGGCAACTCACAGCCTATTGTTTTACAAGCTGCGCGTACTACTCTGTTTGAGCCTATCCTTTCTTTGCTGGTGAGATTTCCAAACCACACTGTGATACAGCTAATGAAAAGACTTTCATTTTCCCAGATAACTGAACCACTATTTCTCTAAAAGAGAACCACCTGTTTGACCATCTGTATCAGCGATCTTGTTCTTTTAGTCATAGTTTGTGACCGTAGGTGGGGGAAGGAAGACCGACTGGTAAACAGAGAGCTTCACTTCTGTTTTTTTTTTTGTTTGTTTGTTTTCTGTCACTTTTGTTGAATAAGTTCAGCTTCCTCAGTTTCTGCCTCACATGAATTCAAAAGAACATATTTATTTTGGTGGAAGAACACTGTCTCTGGGTATTTTTCCACACCCAGAGTGCTGCATTCATAGTCTATTTTTTATTTTTTAAAACGTTACATTTCCTATTAGTAATCACAGTCAAAATGGATACTTTATACATACATATATTATTTATTTCCTAAAAGCTTACATCACCCTTTCACTATCAGGAATTGTTGTGTTAGGTTCACTTTTTTAATGCATCCCACATGTATTTTACTACAATACCTATCTTTAAAATTGTAAATACTGTTACTAAAACAAGATAAATTGATTTTATTGACATAGTGAACCACAAGAATAAAAAAATATTAAATGCAACACGACCACTTGACATGTTTTCTATCTTATTCATCTCTATTTCATCCTGTTCATTCTGCTGTGTTCAGCTCTGTTATCACACATTCTCATTGGTGCGTGAACACCGGAAATACAGTGACGTTGACCAATGAGATTAGAGGTTTATTCCAGAGGTCTGACTCCAGCCTGGGTGGCCTGTTATTATTCGAAGAAGCAGGTTAAAATCCGTGAGTATTTCTAAATCTGTTCGTGGATTCCTCGCGCTCGTGCGGGGTTTTAATAGTGAACGGTCTAAACGGAACCGGTGGGGCGCGTGGATCGCTTTTCGTGTCCCTTTAAATAACACGAAGTGGGCAGAACCCAGCAGGCTGTGCGCTCCTCGCCAGCTGACGGTGCAGTTCGTGGGGAGTAAACATGTTGGATATATTTGTCACTGAGATTAAATCTGAATTCAGGACGGCGTGGGGGGACTGCAGAAGCGTGAGGGGGTCCTCAGGTCTGCTGTTGTTCATGAGTAAACAATGATATGTGATGGTTACATCTCCTTGGTCAGAAGCTTATTTTTTTTAACCTCCAAAATAAAATTAAGATGATCCGTGACGCCCAGCGCGTAGACCTGCAGCAGCCACCTCCCCCTGTGTTTGCTAATAAAAGCAGCTATTTAAAGAAATCGCGCGCGCTTTTCAAAGTGTTTTTATTTTTATTTTTGTCACCAGAGTAAAAGTAAAGCTACTGACTGCTGTCCGTCTGCTTATGGATCAGCGTTTGTTTATGACCTGAATAAGCACAAGATGGCGCCAGTTTTCTGTTTACAAAATCCCCACTCATCATTAACAGGTCTGCAGGTATGAACATGTATGCTGCACCCAACCCGGAAATACCAGGCTGCCCGAGGGGTTTAGAGTACCTAACGCAGGTGAGTATGTCCCCACCCCCCCAGCAGCAGGAGCTTTGACCATAAATAACATTTTGATCATATAGTGTAGGAGGGACTTAACGACTTCAGGTCAAACGTGCTGCTCTGGATGAGCTGCCTTCTCTGTCTTTTGTTTTTGGGCCTCTTCAGGAGAAGTTGAATAATTTAGTAAAAGGCCAGTCAGATCTGCCACACCTTCTGCTAGTTGCCAGGCAGCCGTCTGTCACGCCATTCAGAAAAGCTAAATGTGCCAGTTTTCTTAATCAGTTTTCTTACAGTATAAGAATTAAATTTCTGTAACAGAATTAATTCAAAGAACAAACATGCCAGTCAGTTGGCCCTAATAACGTGTTGGTATGCCACTTCAATAATTTAACATCGTGCTGTGGTCTTTTTTTGTGAAATCCACCAATTTAACATTTTAATACACTAATGAGTGACTGAAGAAGAATACAGGCAGTGTGATTTTACAACCTCATTTTATTACAAGTTATTGCATTGTATTGTCATTGTGAAACAAGAGGAATTTGAAGTGCTTTTATAACTCAGTAAATATTATCAGAGAACGGTCAGTGAGCCACAATAAATTAAACCAACAACAAATGGGGCCATTGCTATGTTGCCCTGTATAAGTCAATTGCAATTCAATATTTTTTATTTGTTTTAAAATACATTTGAAAGGAGAGCCATGTATCTTTCATGACTTTCATTGTTAACTGGGAACAGCAACGGACCCCAAACAAACTCAGTTTTTATGTTCACTCTAAATTTTTACCAATATGAAAGTGGAAATGGAAATAATTTTTCACAAGTAAAGATTCACACTGGCCGACAAGACGGTGGTTAAATTTGATAGAGGTTGGCTTAAAGAAAATATTTGTTTTTCTTTATAAGAAAAATACATCCAGCCCATTTTTATAAAATAGAGAATAACATTTTCTCTGAAAATGCAGTGTGAATGCTTGATGCTGAAAAATTTTTGCATTACAAAATGTGTGAAAATTTTTCAATTGGTTGTAATATAGCCATCAAAGCTGAAAATGGCAAAAAAGTAGATAAAAGTATCTGAAAAATCTGAATCTAACAAAAAGAAGCAGAAAGAGCACATATTTTCTTAATAAAGCAGGTGAAAAAATTAGCTTAAATTATCACAAAATGGTGATTTTAACTGAAAAATGTTAACATTAACTGATAACAGCAAAAAAGTGGCTTAAATTGCAGAATACAGCTGAAAGAAGCCCAAAAAGTAAATTATCAAAATAACTGAATAGGGGGAAAAAAATATAAAAGCCGAAGGAATTAGCTAAAAGTAGTACAAAGTAGAGCAGAATCAGAACAAAAAGTATAAAGAGCAGGAAATGTTTAACCATTTTGAAAGATTTTAAGGATGCTGAAGAGAGCTCTATTGATTTTCATTTCAAACAAAAGTGTCCAAAGAAATGCAAATATMTCAAAAGTATAAATTGCCGAAATACCAGAAGTCCTAACTTGAATGTCCTGAAAGAGCTGAACGTTTGGATTTACGAGTTGTTAAACTAAAACAAAATTTACAGAAGGAAATAGGTGTCAAAAACACACAGAAGGAAAAAAATGATCTCACAAAACAATCTTAACAATTTATTTTAATTATTTAATTGCAGAATAAAACAAACATTTTTATATGTAGTCTACAAGCAGTTTTATTTTTTAATTTATTTTAATTTTGAAAAAAGCTTACCAGGTCACCAAGTTCATCTCATCTCACATGTAGGCGAGACAGACAACCGTTCACGTACTCACTCACACCCAGTGACAAGTTTAGAATTACCAGTTAATCTGACATGCATGTGTTTGGTCTGTGGGAGCAAACCAGAGGGCCTCTGGAAAAAAAAAAAACTCCCATGCAGGGAGAATATAATCTCCACACAGAATTATTTGAACCAAGGTTTGATCAAATCAGTATTTGTTCTTGTAAATCCTTGTAAAATAAAACATTTTATGTCTGCTGACCCTTTCATAGTAAAAAAAAAAAAAAAAAAAAAAAAACGTTACAAAGGTGCATGTGCAAAGCGGGCCGAGCTAACGCGTATTTTTGAATACAGTATTTGCTTTAAACTGATTCATGTTAAACTTTCCGTTAGGATCCTAGATGAGATTTTTTTATGAATATCTAAGCTATGAATCTGCTTTTTTTGAGCTTGTTGAATTTGTACATATCCAATGGCATTCTCATAGCAACTTCAGCGTTTTACCAATTGACCTGTGAAGTCAATTGGTAAATTGAAGGCTCAGTACTCATAACTACTGAGCTTGTAGACACTGCTCCACACAGTCAGTTTTCTCTGATGATGCTTTTATTCACAAGAGTAAAAAAAAAAAAACAATGTAAAAAAAGAAAGAAAGGCGATATACTGGACCACTTAAAATAATTCAACTTTAGGCCCTGTCCCAATACCCGTACTCCCACCCTGGTTCCGCCCTTGTGCACTTCAAATGCACATTCATGTTGAAGGGTTTGAGTGCGTAGTGTGTCCCACATTCCCCTCATCCGCCCTCCACCCAGCCCATTTTGGGTACTATATCCACCCTTCCATGAAGTCTGCATTTTTATGGACTTCAGTGAAGTGTATTACCCACAATTCATGCTTGCCAAAACAGCAACCTTTTTTTTTAAATAAAGCTTTATTGAACATTCGAACATGGTACAAAAATAACAATGCTGCCAGGGGGAATGAAGAACTATAAATGAAAAAAGAGGAAAAGAATATGTATAAACANACACACACACACACACACACACACACACACACACACACACACACACACACACACACACACACACACACACACACACACAGATACTATCCTCATGCTGAATACCCCAGAGTGTTTAGAGTCTGGGAGTCAGAAAGACAATCTGACTGGCTTTCAAAGACCCCTGACTGTCCAGTCTGTTTATTCAGATGAGAGCAGAGAACCCCACTATGTCAAAGTCAAATTGTTGAAGAACATATGTTTTGTTGCTCTGTGTGGGCAGTTGAGATAATGAAAAAAAAAGAAACTCTTAGTTCATTAATTCAGCTTTATTTCACATGTGATTTAAGGCATCCAATAACAGATTTTTCCTAATTTATTCAAAGATGTTTATATTACAGCATAAAATAAACTAAAAAAAAAGAAATGCTTTCCTACTCGTACACCAAGCCACTATAATCAGCTGCCATAACATGAATCAATTAAAACACATTTTTAGATCTTTGCGCCTGACGTGTCAGCAGATACGCGTCTGAGTCATCATTTGTTCTCATTAGTGTTGCTCAGAGAAATCAGTAGCGCTTGAGAAAATCAGGTAATTTGTATTCGCAAATAAGGATACTCGACCCAACAACGGTGTGTCATTTATAAAACGGCAGCAAGTGCATTTGTGTGTGCTCCAATATATCCTCTCCCAGTACAGAGGCAACTGGACCAACATTGCCGAGCATCGTTAGCTCAACACTGCTCTCCAGTGGATACAAAACAGAAGAAAGCACAAGCAAAGCTCAGGAGCTTATAGAGTTGCAAGTAAATACATTTCCCTGGTTTCAAAGTAAAATTTGGCTGGTAAGTCAGTTATTTAGTCAAGATGGTACTCTATTCTCATGCAATGAGTTGATAGCAAAATACAATGTTAATGTGACTTATAAAGACTTTAATATTTTAATTAAGGCTATTCCTTCTGGAGTTCGAGAACTCTTTAAGAACACACTTATACCATCTCCTGGATTATTACCTCCCTGACTGTCTGGAAGGTAAAATATGTTTCTCATCGCTTCCACAAAAAACTAAAAATTGAGAAACTCATGCCCTATTTCAAAAACACTGTTATTAACATATGTTATTTTATACTGGTTGCGTAATATTACAAATAAAAATAGGAACAAAGTCTGGATGCTTCCATGTTAATTTTTAATCACAAATAAAATTACGGAGGTCTCTTATAAATTTATACACAAATACTATCCAGCTAATCACTAATACGTTAAAATTCAAAAAGGATATTAACACAAAATGTTCATTGTGTGATTCTCATCTTGAAACCGTTGTTCACCTTTTCTGGCTTTGCATTAAACGTTTTGGGGAGATGTCTGTCGGTTTATTATTGATGGTATTGATAAAGATTTTATTTTGTATTGGGAGAATGTTGCCCTTGTTTGTCAAAATTATTCAAGAAAAGAAGAAAATAATACTTAACTACTTTAAGTAACCATCTTATTCAAAAACTGTAAGGCAATTAAAACACTCAATGTACTATCTAACTTCAATTTATGATGTTGTAATAACCCCTGGCTGATGTTGTTACTATCTCTGTATTGTATACTGTTCTTTGTGTACTTGTTGTACCATTGTTCTTTAATTATAATAATAATAATAATAATAATATAAAATGATTACACCACAAAAAAGAACCAATCACGACAAAGTTAAATCAGGAATTACAAGAAGTGAACAAGACATTGTAATTTTTTTGCCTTCTGATTAGTAGAGAAGTGAATAGATTGCATATATTGTGTAAACTCAATCATGAAGGAGATAAAAATTGTTTTTTTCTTTTAACATTTGCTTTTATGTATATGAAATTTGGCCTAACAGCGACCGGTAGCTACCTGTCTTTGATAACGTAATCTGCACTGCCCCAATTCTCAATTGTTTTGCACGCTTGTAACCTGCGCACTCGAACACTTATGTGCACTTCGACTGAATTCACACTTCACAGAGGGGTGTAGGGTGCACACTGAGCATTGGGACTGGGCCTCAGAGTTGTTTATTCTGTACATTACACCAAAAAATTTTTAAAAAAGAGCTCAGTAGGTACCAGAGCTTGCATTTAGGCTACTGGCCAGATGCAAAATTGACATGCCATATATTTTTACTACCGCCCTTTTGTCTATTTATGTACTTGTATTTAAGTGATAAAAAAGAACGTTCATTTCATTTCATGCATGTGGTTTTCTAGGTGGATCAGCTACTGGTCAAACAGAAAGTTGAGCTTGTTGAAGGTACGGTGTGTGAACATATTTACTGATCTAACTTTGTTTGTACAACAGCAGCAGCTTATTTTGCTTGTTTTCTTTCACCTAGCCCTCATCGGCTTTGAAAGCAACAACAAGTACGAAGTCCGAAACGCCATGGGCCAGAACGTGTTCTACGCCGTCGAGGAGAACGACTGTTTGAGTCGACAGTGCTGCGGGCCCCTGCGCCCTTTCACCATCCACATTCTTGACAACTTTGGCCAAGAGGTCATCACAATCACCAGGCCGCTCAAGTGCATGTCCTGCTTCTTCCCTTGTTGTTTACAAGAAGTGAGTGCAATCAAGCTTTCTGTTTTTACAGTTTGAAAAATTTGAAAAAAGTGATATTACCACATCAGATCCCTTTTGTTTTAGTTTTTGCACCCTGCAGATTTACAGATTTGTTCTCAAGTAAACTCATCATATTTGTTTGCTTCATTCAGCTGGAGGTTCAGGCTCCTCCTGGTAACACTGTGGGCTTTGTGAAACAGCAGTGGCACCCATTGTCCCCGAAATTTCTTGTTGCAAATGAACACAATGAGCCCGTTCTGAAGATCCATGGGCCATTTTGTGGATGGAGCTGCCTCCCGGATGTTGACTTTGAGGTGGGCTTGTTTGAACGCAGAAATACATGAAATCTGCAGGGTTGTATAGTAAAGTACGTTTACTTTGTTACAGTCCTTAAGCATACATGTCAAGTTGTAGCCTGGCCCTTGCCTTCCTACGCAGTTCCGCTTAATTCTAGTTTCTCTTCACTGCCCCATCTGGGACTTCTCCCATTGACATGGATTTTGCGGACAGATTTTTAGCCGAACCAATCAGAGAACAGAACGTCGATTTTCTGTGTCTGCTTGTAGTTTATTTTACCTGGGCCAATCAGCAAACAGAGTTTTGAACAACGTTGATTTTCTGCACAGTGTCTGCTTGAGAGTTTAGCAACGGCAGTGGAGGACGTGAATGAAGGCAGTCCGTGTTGATAAGGCTTCCAAATTAAATTAAATTTGTCTGACAAACCAGCAGCTCTCATTTACAGCCGTCTCGTTCGGCTCGGTACTTCTCTCATCTCAGTAGGGTTGTTTACAGCACATGCTATTTCCAGTTAGCTTCTTAGCTTAGCGTCCTCCAAAGCGACACACACACACACACACACACACACACACACACACACACACACACACACACACA